ATGGCTCCAGTATAGAATCTGACTGCATCAGCATAGGCTTCTGTTTTGATGCATTTTCCAAGTCTTGCAGGTAGATCGTAAATGAACTGTTCATGAATCATTTTGAGAGAAGACAGAATGAGAGAAGCTCATGTACAGTATAAGAAAATAAATATTTAAAAAAAAATAAAGAGAAAAAGAAGTTAAATCCTGACGGATAAAAGAAGATACATTATCACATTCTGCTGAAATAGTAACTTACATCTACAATACCTTCTAAAATGCAAAAGCACAACAGTGCCATTTACAATAAACTAGAAAACAATACAGATTTCTTAATTTGCTTAATTTCATAATATGCCAAGGAGGGGCAGTAGCACAGAACGTCATTCATACTTTTTAACTTGAACATTCTGAGTTACACTCTAGCATATCAAGACAGTGGAAAAATAGAAAGAAAAACAATTAATAATTAAAAAACCAGAGGCTCAAGAATTCACCATTGTATGTCCCAAATTTTGGTACCTGAACTTTACGAAGAAGGTTTCGCGTTCGATGCAATTTCTCAATGTGCTCTCTTTTTTCGAAGAGAGAAGTATTGACTCCATCACTTCTAGACTGCACTACCAATATCTGCAACAATTTGCAATATAAGTGGTAATCCATTAATAAGCTGCTTGAGAAACATGAACATTCTGAATGCATCCATTTACACAAGAACATCACATACTTTCTCGAGGAGTTGTTCCATATTTGTTTCCATCCCAACGATATTATTATTCATCCTGGGGAAACAGAATTTTATGTGTGCATTTAAGTAAAGAATATGAATCTACTACATCAAATATGGGAAAACAATAGGCAATGAGAGGGAAAAGTACAAAAATAAATTAGGATAAAATTAACTGAGAGGTATATAGGTTAAATAGAGAATTAGATTTCCAACTAGGAGGAAGAAGTTCGTTACCCATGGGTTGGGCATAATCAAACTATCAAAGATCACAAATAAAGGAAAGGGATGGTGAGACAAGGGAAAATATTGTCTCAGACTAGGGCTCTAGTTTTATTGGTTGCAAATAGTTAAATTGGGCTTAAGATCTTCGGATCTATACGGACCATATCTGGTGCTTGTGATTTTTGTCTGTTGGAATGTCAACTAGGAGTCTATTAGGGAAAATTTTACTGGTTGTCTGTTGGAATGTCATAAATATAAGAGGATGATAAGGAAATGGGAGATAATTGAGAAGTGACAAAAAAAGATTTCAAGTTCATCAAATCACCTAGGACTGCATCCAACCTACTGTTGAAATAACTTGGGATTTCTTTGTCACTTGGTTCACCTAACATATCCTAACTTTATTCATAATCTAACTACAAAAGCTAGAGAATCCGCTGCATGGATCCACAAACTAATAAACAACATTCACACATGCAATCAGCTTGATAATTATTGGAAAAGAAAAAATTGTCCAACCTTTTAATTGTGTCAGTTGCACTGATGAATTTATTGTAATTTTCATAAACCAACATTTGAAGATCGGTGTCGAGATTCTTTATCTCGGCAGCCATTTCAACATGTCTTTGAAGGAGCCCCTCCAAATTCGACTTTTGTACCTACCATGGCAAATCAAAATAAATGAATAAAAAATGTAGATTTTACAACCAACAGTGAAGTTCAAATACAGAGATATATCAAGTCTCCTACTTCCTATACCCCTCACAAAAAAGAAAAACATATATTCAACATGCTGACATAACAGAGCAAAAATAATAATAAAACTGTAAGAAGGAAATAAAAATGAGATGGGGCTTGATGTACCAGAATGCTCATATACTGATCAGGATTAAATGAGGTAGTGTTGATGGCATCTAATGGAGAGGCATATCTATTAGATGAACCCGTGGGTGAGCCAGACATTGAAGCATCAGGGGAGTAGAAGCTAGATAGCAGATCCCTCATCCTCTTAGCTTTTTCATCCATTGGAACATCATCAATCTCCATTTCTTTTTGCTCCCGGTTCCCCCTTGTTAGCTTTTCTTTTGTTTTTACTTTAAGCCTATTCTTCTTTTTGCTGCATTCACAAATGATGTTTTGTAAGCTAGTTATTCAGTTTCACACAGATATCTGCAGGCACATGCCAAGTATTAATCTTCTGCCCTCTAGAAATGAAGGAAATAGTGATTCAGACATATTAACGAGATAACAAAACATATTTGACATGCAATTCAGGACACATTATCAAAATAAGTCATCAAAATATTTTATATGATAAACATTTATAGCATTCAGGATAACTAAAATGAGCTCTGCCACATTGTCGACAGACAAAAGGCGTTTTCATTCGATACTTTATATACACTTTGCACTCCACATATGGACACCTTGATTTAGCTCTGAACATTGATTTTTAATAAAGTATTGTCTTAATGAAAGCAGCTCAAATTTCTTTCCCAGTAAAGCACTAGTACAAGGATTATAATTAGATATGAGAAAAAATTTAAAATCTATTAAAACTACTTTAATTAAATAATACTACTTTTTCCCCTAAAATCTTCATTATGTTTAATAACATATTGTGTACTTTCCAAAACCTATATGATACTATAAGAATACCATTGTAAAAGAATATTTTCTTTTTTATAACCGGGGTTGGAGCTTTGCTTCCCTATACTTGGGGGCACCCATACCCGCCCAGTCTAGACCTAAGAGACATCAAAGATTTTTGGTATTAAACTCATCCAAAAGTTCGAACTTAAGATCTCTAACCCAGTATGACTGAGAAGACCTTAAGCACTTGCCAAATGGGACCATCCCCTGGGGGCATTGTAAAATAATATTTCACTAGGAAATTGCTGAAGAAAAAGGTTTCAGAACTCACCATAACCATAACATAATGCCTGATTGCATGTCCTTCACCCTAACATAATCTCCTCAATCTATGGTGATTGTCCTATTTATACAATGATCTTCCCATTTTTACCAATGTCAACAAGATGTGCAGTAGATACAAACTTACTATGAATTTGATGGGATTTAATCAACTACCATGAAATAGATGATTCAGTCAGCTGCTACTGTCTATTTAAGTTAAACCTATTATCCAATAGGCTACAATAAAAAGTTGTCTTATGATCATGTGAAGTATTAAAACCAAGTGAAAAGCCAGGAAACATTTGTGGCCACTGGCTTTCTTCCAAGTGGTGAAGATCCAACAAAAATTTATAAGGTATTGTATATGAAATCATTGAGTAACATGCCATTATGCAAAACTAGCAGAGTCTAAGAAGATTACTACTAATCATCTTTGTGTTGTTTATTCATCTCTCCCTTTCCCTGACCCACTTTAACAATAATGAATAGCTTAAAGCTTATTAGACAAAATAAAGCTAAATGGACTAGTTAAGATAATTTACAACACTCAACTAATAAAAAACTTCAATTTCCTAATGCGAGAGTGTATTGGAAGGCGCCCTTCCATTAATTCTCTCTGCACACACTTTGCAAAGGGTACCATCTTGAAGTTGGTGTGTTCTTGCTCTCGTTGAACCCTGGAATTTCTTTTTCATAGAATCCCAAACTGCTTGGAAGTTTCTTTGCTGAAAACTTTTTCATAGACTGAAAAAGTATCTAAGAGCAGAAATTTTAGATATCTGTACCCTGTCGAAGTAAGGAACCCTGGCATATAAGTTTGGAATAGACTCCATTTTGATCCTAAGACTGTTTGGAAGTTCCTTTGCTGAAAATTTTTTCATGGAATCCCAAAACTGTTTGGAAGTTTCTTTAATCTTTCCTAAAAATAGTTTCTAGGATAAATCGATCAATGGTCTGAAATAAATGATTTTGTCCCTTCAAATCCTTTAGCTTCAGCCCATTCAACTCTAAATTCTACGCATCTTAAAATACTACACCCATTACAATTCTGAAAAACCAAAAGTTGACCATGTTCCATTATGCTTTAGATCTCCATCAACATGATCCAATGGTCATAAATCATAATGATCATCAAACCATGGGATTTCTGGCTGCACAGAAGTCTTTGGAGCCATACCAAAGAAAGACGAGATGAATGGAAGGAAAAAGAAAAAATAGAGTTGCTATGTTTTGTGGCTCTGATACCACTGATACAGAAATAGAGGGCTAAAAGATTCAGAAAGACAAAATTCATTGAAAGTTGCGGTCAGCACTTTACTAGTCCCTCACCATTAAAAAGAATCGCTGGAAATAAGGATTACAAGACTAGGACTCTAAGTAGCATAAAAGACTATTGACTATGACAATTTGTGGGAACAGCTCAACGGTGATTACAGAAGTCCTAAAAGCCTCTTAAATTGAATAGGTACCCATAGATAATTCATTTCCCTCCGCCATAACTGAGAACCCTTCCCATCCTTTCCCACTGATCCCACTCTTGCATAACACTTCAAATCCAAACATATAAGCATTCGGGCAAACCAAGACCAAATAAGAAATCAAAAGACCGGCCAAGAAACACCGAGCGGAAGAATTATATTCATTTGGCCTACTTAAAACAGCTATGATTTCGTTTGTTTTGCTTCAAAGAGACAATAGTCCATGGATCTTCAGCAATTATATTATGGCACGATTAGATCATCTAAAAGTAGTAAGAGGTAATTCAGAACCCATTCCCTACTGCATCCATTGTATAAACTCAACTAACGATCTTCTCATCCCCATTACATTTCAAGATCAAAACTCCTTTTCTCCCCCATCACTTGATGCCAAAAGCAGAGTCTTGAAATGGGAAATCGTAATAATTACATTCTAAATCAAAACCGGCGGTCGTTGACTCATAAACAATTTTACCTGGCTGCCGCGGCGACCACCGAACGGAGAGAGCAGAATCAGATCGAGTGAGACATGGGAGAGAGCAGAGCGAGAAACGAGAGAGCAAATCTGGACAGAGGGCGAGAAGATGAAGAAAAATAGCCGATTGGTTCGATTGGACCATATCTGTCGGTTCGGTCTGGCGTGTCCTGGTTCGGCTGATAATTTGCTACAAAGTTATAAATCATTTACTTTTATCTACAAAAAAAAAAAGTATATATTTTTTTTGGGAAATTTAATCTTTTGTTTTTTTAAGAATTTTTAAATATCATAAAATTAACATGTATTTTCAAAATCACAACCTTAAGAATGGACTAAAATAACATAATCCAAATCTAAGTAAAACCTAAAAGAAAGTTACTCATCTATATTATAAAAAGATGAAAATTTGTAGTATTTATAAATACATATTAAATTTATGCTTTAGGATAAAGTTTAATGTATAATTTAAAAATATTATACCTTATCATTTTTTTAAAATGTTGTATAACTATAATCTTTCTTGTGTTTTATATTGTATTTGAATTTAAATTTGATTTGAAGTATGTTAATTCTTTAGATTGTCAAACTTTTGGCTAAATATATTGATTTTAAGCTATTATGTAAATGTGTCTTTTGACGACCTGAACTTAGTTTAGTATTGTCAAACTTTTGGCTAAATATATTGATTTTAAGCTATTATGTAAATGTGTCTTTTGACGACCTGAACTTAGTTTAGTAGTAATTGTTATATGTCTCTAACCAAAAAGTCGAGTTTGAATTCCTTCACCCGTACTTGTACTATAAAAAAATGCTTTTTTTTTATCTCGTCTATAAAGTTTTTAAAATTTCTATTCTATTCTCTAATGTTCATTTTATTTTTACTCTCCACATCTAAAATAATTATAATAAATTGCTTTTGTCATTACCACAATTTTGCTATAAATCTACACTATATTAAAAAGAGACCATCCTGAAAAATATTTTTGGACTAATATGACTCTCCTAGCCAGTAAAATATTATAAATACAGTAAATTAATTAGTTAATAATTAATTATAAATAATATTAAGGAATATAAATAGTTGGAATGCAAATAATTTTTCCTACTACTTTTTAAAAAATCATTTAATTATAATTTACTTTCTAATGTTTTGTAATGGATGATCATCTATTATGGTATAAATATAAGTTTTTTCTGTAATTTTGTCCACAAACACTTGAGGATTCATTCATTCCTTCCTCTTTTCAGTGTTCTCAATTCTTAGTCTTTATTATTATTATTATTATTATTATTATTATTATTATTATTATTATTATTATTGTTATCGACAACTTCGTTTATCGCTATTATAGAATAATTTCTTAGTTAATATCGTTGGAGGTCAATTTCTATCTCACACATGGCATAAAGGAGAAAACTACACTTGACTTTGAGTTTATATGGCCAAGTTTCGTCATCTTGGTATTAACACTTGTTGTCGAGCCGAGGCCCAGTAAAACTGAGCCGACCATTGATTATCTTGAGTCTTGTTTCCATTTCTTTGGTCGAATCGACTTGGAACTATCTCGCTCAATCAAAATTTCTACATGAAAATATTTTTTTTAGAAAAAAACAAGAAATAGAGTTACCAAACATTTATATTTCTTAAAAGTTTGAAACAAAGATAAAAGTTTGAAATAAAGATAAAGAAATGAAAAATGAAAATGTTACCGGAACTTGTAATTATGGTGAACTTGTTCTCAGAAAGTATATGTTTTGAGCAGGTAAAAAATTGTCTCTCAGTTAATTGTTCTACGTTTACATTTGTTCATCAATAGTTATGATTTTGTTATATTTATAAAAAGAAATAAGAACAAGCCTGATAAGATTTATAAGATAAATGCTACTTCTCTATTTGCCAATTGATTTTGAAATAAAATTTATGAATATTGATATGACATCCAATAAGCTTAAATGAACATCCAGTCAAGATTGGTGAGCTGAAAAAGCCAACATCTTGAGGGAGCACGTTAAGTTTTTTAAAGATAAATGAGCTATATCAATTAATTTTGGAATGAAACCGTGAATATTGATACAATATAAATAAGAGATAAATACCCCTGTAGGCTCCTTTAAAACTTAATTATATAAATGACTTAAATCTTAATAATTAACAGATTTATCAAAATAGAGTCACGAGCCCATGTGAAAAATATCAAACTAAATAGGTTTTTAATAAATAAATAAAACCATAAGATACGTCTATGGGTGGATAAAGTTCTCTTCTTCTCCCTGGAGAATTTGTAGAAAAACGGTGCCGGCGGTGGCGTTCATAGGGCAGGAGTTTTGCACTTTCTGCAAGGAGGTTTGTCTAATCTGGCTTTCGGTTAGGTTTGGATGGCAGAGTCGTTGAGCAGGCAGATAGAGAGCTTAAAGTTAACACAAGAGGAGAAAGGCAAGCAAATTGAGGTAGGTGATAATGTGATTGCCCAATGCGACCAAAATCTCTTACTCAGTTTGGCGTGCAAAATCTTAACCTCAAGAACTATCCACCATGAGTCCTTTAGAACGATGATTCCTAGAATTTGGGGAGTGGAGGATGTGAAGATCAGGGGAGTTGGGAAGAATATCTTTGTGTGTCAATTTAGTAATCCTAGAGATAAGAAAAGAGTGGTGAATGCTGGTTCGTGGTTTTTTGACAAAGGAGTATTGGCCTTTGAAGATCTACGGGCAGATACGAGCATTGGTGAGATGGAATTCCGGTATGTATCTTTTTGGATCCACTTGCATAAACTCCCTGTTGCGGTCTTCTCAAAGGATCTGGCTAAATCAATAGGGAATTTAATTGGGAAATATGAAAAAATTGATTGTGATGAAGGCGGTCTTTGTTGGGGCCAGACAATGAAAATTAAGGTGGCCATTGATGTGTTAAAACCGCTTCGTAGGGGTGTTCTTCTTAAGCTCGGATCAATGGCGGATGAGAGATGGATCCCCATCACGTATGAAAAACTTCCGAATTTCTGTTACGGATGCGGTAAGCTGGACCATGTGTTAAAGGAGTGCGATGAGCATGTACCAGGCGATGCTGATCAGCTCCAATATGGAGCGTGGCTGAGGGAGTTGCCATTTTCTAAGAAATCTAGGAAGGGGAGTGGATTGGGAGAGGATAGTAGAAGCGGCAGAGGTCGAGGTCGGAGTAGTAGGAAAAATGGGCAGCGGGAACAATCAAGCGATGGTGAAAGCTCTGAGAATTCCGGCGATGGCGGGGTAGATGGTGACCGGCATCGGGCGGTTCCGGCGAGATTCACTGGGAATCGTATTAATGAAAGGGCGGTAATTAGGGAAGAATTAAATGGTGATTTAGATCCCATTATTCAAGGCCAACGGGTAGTTCCGAATTTAGGGGAGCAATTAGTTCGGGGAATAAAATCCACATCTATAGTGATTGATACGGACTTTAAATGTCAGGAGGTGGTTAATTCTCTTTCCCCTCTCAAGGTGGCTGACCAGAAAAGGAATGAATGCATATTGCAGGTGGGCCCGACAAGCCATAAGAAGGGTAATTCGGTCCACGCGATAATAGAGAAACAGACCGGACTGGATCCTAAGGGTGTTGGGCCGGACCATTTGGATGAAAGATTATTTTACGAAGGGGGAAACATGCTAGAAAGGGATGGTAAAACAGGTAAGAGGTGGAGACGTAAACAGGGATTGGTGGAGGTCCAAAAAGGTGGAAGTCTTGATACTGGAAAGTCTTTGGCTGGGAAAAAGCATGTGATAGAGTTGGATTATATGGAGTCCCTGAAAAAGATATGTGTGATGGGTTCTCAACAACTTTTTGAACAAACGGTGGAGGCTGTTGGACAGCCCCGTCGAGAACAATGAAAATATTAAGTTGGAATGTTCGGGGGTTGGGGAACCCTCGAACATTGCGAGCACTATGTCATTTGGTACGTAGTCATAAGCCCCACTTGGTTTTTCTTATGGAAACCAGATGTCGAATACAAAATGAGGTTAGAGTTAAAACTGAGTTGAGTTTTGATTGCAGTTTTTGTGTTCCAAGTATAGAGAGTAGCGGAGGGTTGATGTTACTGTGGCATAGCGAGCTAGATGTTCGAATTCTCTCGTTTTCTAGGGGCCATATTGACGCGATGGTTAAAGAAGATAGATACAATTGGCGGTTTACAGGAATTTATGGGCATCTAGTCCAGGACAATCGGTGGGAAACATGGGAACTTATAGGAAGACTCCATAGTATTTTCGATCTTCCTTGGATTTTGGGTGGTGATTTTAACGAGATTCTTTTCAATTCTGAGAAGTTGGAAGGAGTTCCGAGGCGACAGAGCTTGATGCAAAACTTTAAGGATACGTTGGATTTGTGTGGTCTTTTGGATCCGGGCTTTGTTGGAGATATTTTTACGTGGTGCGATGGACATAAGTATAGACAACCTATTTGGGAGAGATTGGACCGGTTCCTTATCAATACAGCGATATTCCAGATCCAGGAGACATTAGAAATTCGGCACCTAGAATTCTTAGCATCAGATCATAGGCCCATTCTCGCCGAATGGTTGGGAGTAGGCGAGGCTACAGTGGGGAGAAGGAAGGGCCGTAGACCACACCGGTTTGAAGAGCAGTGGTTTTCGTTTCAAGAGTGCAAGGAGATCGTAAGAAGAGTTTGGGCAGTGCAAGGTGACCTTTGTGGAACCGTTTTCCAAGGTAAGATAAATTCATGTCTAGAAGAGTTGATTAAATGGAATGTGGGTAGATTGGGCGGATCCCTTCGGGGGGCCATTATGAGGAAAGAGGTGGAGATCCAACGGATGGTTAAGGACGGAGCTACTGGCTGGAGGGATAACCTTTGGGAGGCTAAGCGGGATCTTGAAAAGTTGTTAGAGGAAGAAGAGACGTACTGGAGGCAAAGGTCTAGTGAAGACTGGCTGGTTAAGGGAGACTAAAATATAAGATGGTTCCACTTGAGAGCTAGCCACCGGAAGAAATCAAATAAGATAAAAGGGTTTGTTTGACGAGTTAGGCAACTGGTGTTGTCTGGAAGAGGATGTTGTACGGATTGCCTCTTCTTACTTTTGTGATCTGTTCATGTCAACCAGCCCCAGTAACCAGGATATGGGCCCGGTGTTGGATTCCATCACGCCAAAGCTGAATGAAGAACATACCAATAGGCTTCTAAGGCCATTTATGGAGGAAGAGGTTAGGAAGGTGGTATTTGAGATGCCACCCTCAAAAGCCCCAGGCCCTGACGGGGTCCAAGCCTCATTTTTCCAAAAATATTGGGATGTTGTGGGGGGAGGAAACTATCAAACTTTGTCTTGAAATCCTCAATGGCTCCTCAGATATTGGCCAGTTAAATAAGACTTTTATTGTTCTGATAACTAAGCACAAGGACTCGAAGAGGATGAAAGACTTTCATTCTATTAGCCTTTGTAATGTCATATGTAATGTCATATATAAGATTATCTCGAAGGTTTTGGCTAATAGGCTCAAACAGGTTCTCAATGAGCTCATATCCCCTACTCAATCAGCCTTTGTGCCAAGTAGACTTATAACGGATAATGCTATTATGGGGTTTGAATGTATCCATTCTCTTTATGGTAGAATAAAGGGCAAATTAGGAGCTGTAGCGTTAAAGTTAGACATGTTGAAAGCATACGATAGAGTCGAATGGAGATATCTGCGATTGGTAATGGAAAAGATGAGATTCATGCCTAGGTGGATCGATTTAATTATGAGTTGTGTGGAGATAGTGAGTTTCTCAGTTCTGGTTAATGGGATGTCGGGACCATCGTTTCAGCCAAGTAGAGGACTGCGGCAGGGAGATCCATTATCACCCTATCTCTTTCTTTTATGTTCCGAAGGTTTTTCTGCTCTTCTCGCAAGTGAAGAAAAGAAAAACAATCTTGCTGGTTTTCGTATAAATAAATATTGCCCCTCGCTAACGCACTTATTTTTTTGCAGATGATAGCCTCATTTTTCTTAGCGCTTCTCAAAAAGATTGTCAGACCATCAAATGGGTACTTAATTCCTATGAGAAGGCTTCGGGACAAACTATCAATTTGGAGAAATCTTTGCTCATGACTAGTAGAAATACGAAACCAGAGATGGTTGAGCATATTAAAGTTGAGTTAGGTGTTCAATTTTCTCAGAAGCTTGGCCAATACCTTGGGCTTCCCTCTTAGGTCAATAAAAGCCGTAGCGAAATTTTCAGCGCCATAGTGGATAGAGTGTGGAAGAAACTTCAAGGCTGGAAGGGAAAGCTTTTTTCGATGGGTGGCAAGGAGGTCTTAATCAAGACTGTTGCACAAGCTATACCGAATTATACTCTGAGCTGTTTTAAACTTCCTGTTTCTATCTGTAATGAACTACACCAAATCTATAATAGGTTTTGGTGGGGTTCTTCTTCTGAGGATAGGAAAATACATTGGCAAAGTTGGAAACTTCTGTGTATCCGAAAGGACCTAGGGGGAATGGGATTCAGGGATATAAGCATTTTCAATCAGGCTATGCTGGCCAAACAGAGTTGGCGAATACTTCGACATCCGGATAGTCTGTTGGCCAAGACCCTTAGAGGAAAATATTTCAAGACAGGATCGTTTTTGCAAGCTAAGTTGGGAGCTAGGCCTTCTTATGCCTGGAGGAGTATCTTGTGGGGAAGAGATTTATTTAAAAAAGGGTATCGATGGAAGGTGGGCAATGGTTTTAGTATTAATTTAAGTTCAGATCCTTGGCTTCCTAGAGATGGTAATTTTTCCCCTGTTTTTACCCATATCCATGTTCGAAACTTCTCGGTAGCTTGGCTAATGGAAGGGAGGGGCCGATGGGATGAAATTAAAGTTCGTGAAAGTTTCATTGTTTCGGAAGCTGATATTATTTTACAAACTCCTTTGCCGAGTCAAGACAAGGATGATGAAATCATTTGGGGAATGGACAAGACGGGTATCTTCTCGGTTAGGAGTGCGTATCATCTGGGGATTCAATTGATGCTGAAACTTCTTCCTCAAATTCAGACACTCAAGCTAAGCGTTGGAAGAGACTTTGGAAAGTTAATGTTGCCCCAAAAATCAGAATCTTGTGCTGGAAAATAATTCGGAATTTGCTTCCTGTCAAAGTAAATTTATGTAGTAAGGGATTATGACTAATGTGAATTGTGTTTTGTGCAGGAACCACGAGGAAACTGTCTCATCTTTTCTGGGAGTGCAAGGTAACTAAACGCCTTTTTGGAATTTTTTCTAAATTCTGATGGGGTTTTTTTTCTTGTGACAGGAGAAGCTGGGGGAATTCTGAATGTTGGGATTGGATGCTGGATAAGGCAAGCGACGAGGATTTGGATGTCCTTTTGATCGGGTCGTGGGTTATTTGGAATCACAGAAATTATGTGATTTTCCGTGGTGAACATTCTAGCTTTTCAACAATGATTCAGCAGTTAACCAAATTCGTGACAGAGTCTTCTTATCAGTCAGAAACTTCTTTGAGTATGCTACACAAGACTTTAAACAATAAATTGAAGTGGGAACCCCCACCAATGCATATCTGGACCCTAAATGCCGATGCATCGTGGTCGGATTCTACGCACAGAGGAGGGATTGGGTGGATTATTCGCAGTTGGGACGGCGACATTGTACTTGCGGGCAATCGTTTTGTGGAGGCATGCAATAATGTCAAACTTCTAGAGGCTTCGGACAAGCAACAAATTTACTGTGAATGTCTCATAATTAATCAAGCAACAAATTCTAAAATTTAAATTTAAAAAATAATGCACCCAAAAGTTTGAAACACATCAATATTATTTCCTTCTAATAATTAAATATATACAAAACAAAACAAAATTTATTGGTGATAGGAATTAGTAGATGCACTCGATAATCCCAACTATGTTGACATAATCTTAACACCCTCGTCATTTAGCTTATTCAGATAAATGAATAACATTAAATAATAAAAAGAGTTGGTACATTGTTGGAGTTAAATATAAAAATAAAAGAAACTATAATTAATTGTACAAATGTAAATCATAGAAGCCCATGGTATCGGAGAATCCACCCCAAGAAGTTATGAGAAATCCACAAAAGTGCTCCAAATCTTTGAATGATTTATGGGTATCTTCCACTTCCACAGTCCGTTCCACCTCTTCCAAAGCTTCTCGAATTGGACGTCTTCATTCTTCAATTATACGCCGCTTCACAGTTGGTTTTTCAATTGTATCCAGCTTCACAGCACACGACACACTATTGGAATTCTTCAAATGTAAACCATATAGACAAGTACATGATGTTGAAGAATCCACCATTAGAAGGTACAGGAAATCCACAAAGGTGCTCCAAATCTTTGAGGGATTTATGGCTATCTTCCCACCCCACAGTCCGCTCCACCTCCTTCAAAGCTTTTCAAGCTCCTTGTCTCAGTTCTTCAATCGTAAACAACTTCACAAATGGTTTTCATTGACTTCATATCACACGACGCACCATTTGCAAAAAGCTGCCACTGTGCTTTCAAGATCGTATCGACGAAGCTTATTTTGATCAGCATTGTTACTCTGAGTAGCTGTGTTGAGGGAGGATGAAGTACTAATCTGCCGTGGTGGTATGATTGTGGCTCGTGTTGAAGTTGTGGTTTCAGTTGGTGTTTGGTGTGTCTTTGCTGCCAAGTCACCGCATTTCTATTCCAAAAAAATCACATTCTCATTATTTTGATTATGTATAAAATTGGATATAAAAAAGAAATATGGAATTGTACAACAAAAAGGAAAAGAAAAAAAAAAGACGAATCCAACTCACCAGAGTCTTTGGTGCCCAATCAGTCACAAAAAACAAGGAGAAATGCAACAAGTTTGTTATAATCATACTCTCAAACTTTTAGTAATAAAAAATTGTTTGTAATTAAACGTTTAAATATTGTTAAATACATAAACCATCTATTAATTATGAGTATGGTTACAATCAAACCCCAATTTTTTCACATCAATTTTTTGTTTTTCTTAAAATGAAACATTGGTAACATTGATATGRAAAAGTAAAATGTTAAATGGTTAATATAGAGTTTAAAAAAATTATGTCTAAATTATAATTATTCGATAGTTCAATGGTTTAATTGTAACAATTGTTATATTTTGAAGATGATCGGTACGTTTTGTAATATTTTAGGGTTTAATTGTAACCCTTTCTAAATTTAGAGGGTCGTTAATCAAATTGAAAGTTTGAAGAGTGTGATTGTAACTACTATTAATTTATTGGTAATTTTTGTAAATTTTCCTTGATTAGCACTTGTTTCAATAATATATTTTTATAGTAGTAATTGTTTTATTTTTATATAATTAGTAGTTGTTTTATTATAGAAAATAAAATTTTAATAAGTAACATTTATTTAAATTTTTTTAAAAGATAACTAATTTTTTTAAATAATATATTTTGAATAGTATTTTTTTTTTTTTGCATGAGTAGGTTTTTTTTCTTTGATGTGAGAAGTTATTTTATTTTAGAAGAGAATATAAATTTTAATATGTGACATTTATTTAATTTTGTTTGAGAAAATAATTTTAGTATAACATTATATTGAATAAAAATAAAAGAAAAGATAATGAATGAAAACTTGGACCCACGGATCTTTAGATTAAAAACCAAGCATACCACCATTATACCAAAGTGGTAGTTTTGTACAATTTAGGTATATATCACCAGCAAACACCATGCAACTCGAGGAGCGACAACTTATAATTTTTTAAATATTATTTTTAGAAATAGTTTGATGGTTGATATATATTTGGAATAAGTTTGAAATAAAGTATTATTAAAAAAAATTCAAAGTATATTTCATTAGTTATTAAATTATAATATTAATTAAAGTTGGGCTTAAAAAAGGAAAAAAGTCAATAAACCCCTCCACATACACGTATAGACGCACACTTTATGCCCAATCTGTCCCTTCGGCGGTATAGAAGCACGCGTTTTTTTTTTCTTTCCCTTTTTCTTCGTTTTCCTTTTATTTAAGGAATATTATGATTATAAAATAAAATAAAAATCAACAACTTTGCTTGTTTCGTGATTCAAGCCAAGCCCACGAGATCGAATCTAGAGATACAATTACGAAAGTTTTAAATTATAGATTTAAATATTATTTTGATATTTATACTTTCTTCGATTCATTTTTATTTTTGTACATTTAAAACGTTTAAATAAAATTTTTAAAATTTAACCATAATATTGTATTAAAGAATTTGTAGCATGTGAAAATTTTCGAACAGGGACCAAAATAGTCATTTAAAAAAATATAGGAATTAAAACAGACATAGAATTTAGAGAAAGTACAAGGATTAAAATATACGTTTTTTAAGTCTCTTGAAATTCTATCGCTAACTTGCTCTCCCTTCTCATTATGCTGGCTTGGATATAGACTTATATTCTTAAAAATCGTATTTGAACTGTTCCTGCTTCGCCTCGGTTCTCTTAGTGTTGGCTGAATATTCTTTCTATTGGGGATGCTTTTCGATCTGTGGTTCGGTTTGCTATTGGAGATGGTCATCGTTGTTTTGTGTTTGCCCTTTAGGGGTTGTGCCTCGATCTAGAGCGGTGAGATTCTCTTTTTTTTTTTTTGTTTAATACATTTACCTTTGCCAAAAAAAAAAGGTTCTTTAAAACACATGGACCAAAACAAGCCAAAATTTAGAGTTATAGGGATCAAAATAATATTTAAATTGAAATTATAATAAAATAAAAAGAGTATTTATTATATAACTTTTTTTTTTTTGGTAATAAATGACTATTCCTGAATTTATGTTAGTTTTGCATTTTGTTTAAAAAGAAATTTGGGTTTTAAGGCTAGGTATTCAAAGAAAATTTATTGACATATTTACTAATAGAACATGCCTAACACAAACCCTATTAGGTATGTAGAATTAAAATGTATTAGGTAAAAAGGTTGGAGAGAGACCAAAAGATACCAAATTACAACTTACAACAAAACTTCCCTTCACTTTCCAAGTTACTTCCTCAAATATTTTACTAATATTAGAAAAAATATCCAAATTATTCTTGGTTCTTAACTTGTAAAGATCAAAGTTACCTCCCCAACTAGACCTGTTAAAAATCATATTTTTATTTCAAAATTTAATCCATGAGTTTTGACTAAAAACATTATTGAAACATTCTTTTTTGTTACATTCTAATACAATATAATAAATATGGAACATAAAGCGATGGGAGAGTTTGATACTTTTTTTTTTCCTTTTTAAGTTGAATTTCAACAAAGTAAGAGATTTTCAAAAGTCAAAGAATGAAGTATTCAACATGAGTAAAAATAAGCATATGCATCATTTAAAATATAATATATTCGAATTTCTACTGCTAAATATTGTAAAATATTTTCATTATCAACCAATATTATCAATTATGATAAATCATACGCCATAAATGACTTCTGTGTTTAGGTTAATGCAGATTTTTTTCCTTTTCTTTTTTTAAATAATATATAATATTTATGCAACGATATCAAATTCAGTTGACTAAATAATTAAATATATTTACATGCCTTCATCAAATTGAGACAACAACTAACGGAATTTTATTTCCCAATTTATTGTTCTTTTCTTAAGTTTTATTTGATTTGAGAACTAATAACAAAAATAAGTTAATTAATTAAGTCAAGTGTATAGCTGATTCTATCTTGAAAACAATATTCACAATTTTATAAAATTTCATTTACTTGCTATTAAAAAATTAAGTTTAGTTACAACCCACTAACATTCATTGTTATTTTTAGAACTTTATATGCATTTTGTATTGTAGGGGTCGAAAATATAAAATAATATATTTATTTGTGTTTTTAAAAAAATGGTTAACTAAATAAGAAAAAGAAAATTCAGATATATATATATATATATATACACGTACTCCCAAATATACCTCCATTTTAACTTAAACATAGATCAATTTTTTTTTCCATATAATTAATGAAATTTTAAACTCATTTTTTTCATCTACCATTTTGTATTATGTGTTAAATCAATCCATATTTCTCTAGTAAACCTATCCAGTCAAAATTAGTTTTGATCTACGCACAAAAAAGGGGAATTTGTTTTAAAATCTAAATAAAACCTTAAAATAAAATTATATACAAAATCAAATTATTTTGAAGTTTAATAACTAAATAATTATACTAACTCCATGAACTTAAAATGTGTTTAAAGAATTTGTGTCTACCATATCTTTTGACCCTTTTTTGTTTCCTTGTAATCTCATCAATGATCTACTATATATAGAAAGTTGGTCCATACCAATATATAAAAAATAATAATAAATAATCTCATTAGCCAATGATCTACTAAGAGACTTATATTATTTGACACAATATTAAAAACTTGTAATCAACTTGTTAAACAATTATTGTCAAAAAACCTATTATACAAAAAAACTAAAATGTATTGAACCAAAATTGTAATTCAATAAAAGAAAAAATTATGGATAAGTTACCTATCACTATTTCAACGTTCCAAAGGTTGATGATTTGACCCACCACCCTGTGTAATATTTTCTTTTAAGTATAACAAATGGGAGGGATGAGGATTTGAAATTCCAACCTCGAGAGAAGGAGCAACGTCTTTTCCATTAAGTTATGATGTTGGTTTTACTTTGTGTAGAACTAAAAACAATCTATTTTTTATATCAAAGTGAGCATAGCTTAACAGTAAGTGACATATATCTTAAAAGGTGTGAATTCGATCACTCACGCCTACATGTTGTATTAAAAAAAATAATTCATTTTATATTTTTTAATATAAGGTAGAGATTCCAACCTCTCACTTTGTGTAGAATTATAGCTTAATTAGTTCAATTAAGTTCAATTATGCTAGATTGGAAAAAAAAAATTAATCCGGACATGACAAAGCATATATTACGCACCAAAAAATTAGAGTTTTGGATCCTCAAATGTTGTCGAGCTAAAAAAAAGGTTAGGCAAATAAAAACCGAAATTTATTTAGTGAAAATTGTATTAAAAAAAAAAGAGAAAAAAGCCTATAAAATACAACCAAACGAAGACAGTTACTTCCACGCTGTCGTCACGTACCATGCCAGCTACGACACCGACGCGTCCGTTTAAATT